GAAGATTATATTGTTTTTCAAGTACTATTCAATGGTAATGTCAAAAGATATTATTTTCAGTATCAAGATAGCGAACCACTGCTAGCAGTATATTCCAAACAGCTACCGAACCAATTTACTATCAATGCGAAATTTCTGTTGGACTCTCTGCAAAACCTGTCTGTTAAATCTGGGCAGGTGATCTTTGATTTCCAGGCATCGATTAGTATTCGCAATAATACATCCAAAGGCGAGCTAGAAACATGCATCACGCTGGAAAAATCCGAATTTGAATACATAAATTGTGGAAACGGGAAAATTATTGTAGATTATAAAGAGCTAAAGAAAATATTAGCGTCCGGGGAACTGATGACTGCGTACTTTCAGCCAGGGAATCCATTCGTATTAACTTTTCCAGCTGTTGATTTCGTAATGGCAACATTTCCAGATCCACACATGCTGCCAGAACCAGATACGCAAAAGAGTTCCCAAAAATCGGAAAGAACATTCAAACGAAAGATTCTACAAGAAGAAAACTGCTATGATGTGGTGCCTGATTCGCCCCGAAGTAAGCAGGTGGAATCGTTGTTTACTCAAATGAGTTCATTCAAATAAATATGTGGTTGTGTGATACATTTATTAACTCTGCATGGACTGTCTTAATGTTTCGCGCAGCCAAACTGGAGGGGCAAGTGGACAAGCGCTTTCAATGACACTCCTAATTGGATAAGATCCAGTGACCCCACTTGGTTTGAATATCAAACTCTTTGTGGCTTTAGGGGCTGGGGTTTCTTGTTTGGTTCCTTTTGGTGGTTCATACACTGGATAGGGATTGATTGTGTACCCAAATCCAGATGAAGGTTTGAAAGGAACCAGGATATTCTTTTCTGCTTTGCCTGGAGTATCCGCATCGGTAATCGGCATTTTGGAAAGACCTGCGAATTGATTAAAGTATTCCTGGGAGGAGAATGAGGATATGAATGGTTTATCTCCGACCATCTTTTTCTTATTTTCAGATTTATTTTGCTATAATCAACTATGAATTACCCTCTCTGCTAGTACGGCCCCGTCATATGGGTCGCTTTGGTATTGATAAGATTTCCCAATTGTAACGTTGCAATAACCTGAATTAGCTTGGTCTACCGTATCCAGAGCCTTTCTTTGAAGGCGAAGTATAAAAGTTTTTCAATTCCTGTTGCTTTTTTTCTTTGGGAATAGGTTTGAGAGGTAATTCAAACCGTTTGTTTTTAATCGGCCATTGTTGCTCGATGGTGCCCCAGTGACTTCCTTTGCCGGACCTAGTTTAATCTGATACATACGGTTTTGGAGGGACACTAGATGGTTTGAATGGTGCATTTGTAATGTTCTTTTCTTTGGCCTTCAGTCTCCATCTTCGTCTGAGCGTGACTAAATCTGTGTAAGGTTCATTTTCGAATAATCTTCCAAAGGTCTGGTCAAAATACGCATCTTTAGAATCATGTCCATGTTTAGGAGGAGAGCTTAAGAATTGCTTTCCATTCGCCCTATAGTCCAGTGTAGATGCGCCTTTCTTTGTCTGATACGGTTCACCTACTGAAATGTAATTAGGTTCGCTAAAGATCCCCATCCTTGTTAGATCGGATCTTCCATAGTGAAACCCGCTCAACTCTTGTTTCCCCATGCTATTTTTGGAAAAATATATTTTTGTTTATGCTTGACCACCCTATTTATATGGTAAACAAATGATATATTAACAATCGCCAGCATCCATAGAATCTCCAAAGAGATATAGCTGCTCCCCAGACATGAAAAATGCAAACTCGCCGTGGGCTTTTTGACACACTTTCACAAATGCTGGTGTACTTTTTTGGTTGCGCAACTACAGCGTTTGGACCGCTACTATCAATATTATTCTTTTATATTAGTAGGCAGCCTCGTCTTATACTATTGTCAATGTCTAGTGCGTTTATTTGGATCCTAACGATGCTGTTGATTTCAGGAATTTATTACCTTTTCAATTCATTAGCTGGCTTAATTGTAGTCTCGGGAATTGTACAGGAAACTAGCAGAATCGGATCATATTTTGTGCTGGGATTGATGAACGAGAAATTAAACCAAATTGCCGACAATCCCCAAGCTGCAGTAAACTTATCCTAAACCCAGCACAACTTTTTAGAACATTCGTTTTCCATGGGATATGGAGTTGCTGTGATCAGCGCAATGGTCCACTATATCAACCCACTAGCCCAAACTGCCGGACCAGGGACTTTGATGTGTAAATCTTGCCCTTCGGTAGATTTGTTTTATATTGGAGCACTGGAAACGCTGCTATTTTCCGGGTTGAATATTACGTGGGGTATAATTTCTTTTCAAGGTCCAATTTCGTTAATTTAGGGATGAAAACAAGGTCGTATATATATTTAGCATGGACTTTTGTCAGTCACTTGGGAGCTTCATTTGCTACCCTCCTAGTAGGCTCTTCTGTGTCGCTTGGATGTGTGTATAGCCTGGGAACTTTGTGTTTACTGCTGATTGTCAATTTTGGTATTTGCCAGACATTTGCAAAAGTCAAGGGAGACTAGAATCAGTATGTAGACTACCCTAAAGTATTGTCATAATAAACAAACCTCTGTTCATTTGATAGCAGATACGATACTTTTCTGCAATTTACCATTCTGCAGCTGTCACGTCATCCCAAGGTCCAAATAAATCTTCCGACATTTCAATGTATTCTAGATCAGAAAGAAAGTTCCTAGCACCAGAAAAGGATCAAGCAAATCCAAATTTAGGGCCGGGATGCTACACTTCAGATGAAGCAGTTTTGTTTGCAGGAAAATTGATAGGCGGAGGAGGGTAACAAAGTTCTAATTGCAGCTATGCGCCGTTCTCATCGCTCACACCTAGAGGGTCATATTTTGATCAGATAGTCAATAGCGGACCTCCTCCAGGAAATTACGATGTACAATTAGGTGTTGATTTGACACACAAGAAGGAAGGTGGAATTATCTTTGGAAGATCAAAGACACGGAGATTCAAAAAAGATACCCATGATAGCCCTGGTATATTTTATTTGATGGTGAGGTCCAGGAGCTTATTTAATCAGCTCTGAAGCAAAGTCGCGCAAACAGGAACAGCAGGACAAGAAACAGAAAAAGAACATGTTAAATTTTGCATTAAGTCAAAAGCCCATTGTAAATAGAATCGGAGCACAAGCAATTGACAAATCAATCTCCAAGCTGGATGAGGAGGAAGAGTATGAAAACGAAAACGAATCTGTAAAACCAGACAGGCCATTGGAAAATGGGCCATCAAGTCGGACTATGACAATCATGTCCAGAGATGGAAAGAAAATAAACCGCGAAAGAGTTCGGTTTACCAAAGCAAATTCGTTATCTTGGAGAAGAAAATACATCCCTCCTTCAATACCAAAAGGGAATACAGTTTACGGCTACCAGGAAAACCAGGAAGGTGAATTAGAGCCTAGAAAACCTCCAAAAACGGTTAAAGAAGATCCTCCGCCTTACTTGTTTTCGTTTGCAGAGAAAAGCAGACATGATAATCGCGGCTATGGATTCTCAAAGCATAGAGAGAGGTTGTGTTTCGCAATATATGATAACCCTGCTCCGAATTACTATGATCCTGAACTTGGAGAGAAATATTTGGCTCCAAAGACAAAATGCTTGAATCCCGCAGTGATGACTCTTGCTCCAAGTGTGCGAATTACAGATGAAATTATATCAAATTGTTTAAAAAAGGTACTTTATCTTTTACCAGGGAATCCCTGGACCAGGATCGTATGATATCAAAGCCCCACTAACTGAAAAGCTAAATGAACCGAAAAATAGATTTAAATTAGGGGCAAAATTAACAACGAATCCGTACATTAATCCAGAATTAATTAAAATACCAGGACCTGGGGCTTATTTCCCAGAAGCAACCGCAGAAAAACCACATTCGCGCAGACCAAAACCGTTCGGATCTACTACCAAAAGATTTACATCCAGTGATAATCCATCTAAAGAAATGCCCGCAGTGGGAGCATATGAAATTGACGAAGTAATGTTAAACTAACGAGATTAATAGCATATACAACAATGCCAAAAAGCGCAACGTAATATATCAGGGACAGCCAGTGGCAGCATTTGGATCAATATCACAACGATTTGTTCGGGCTAAACCAGTAATCTACTATAATATTAGGTTGAGCAACCTGGACCTGGAGCATATGACTTTATTAATGCTAAAAATCCAATGAAGGTGCAAGGATCAGGAAATGATAGATCACAACTGCAAAGCAGAATCCAAAGATTGGCAACAAAAGGTCCTGCGCTGTTAAAGCTGGGACAAACCCAATTTTTAAGCTCGAATTTCCATGTGCCAGTCTTTGGGTCGCAGACTACTAGATTTGATGAATACATTCCAGGTATTATTGAGCTGACAAGATCTTCCACCGCCAGGCTCCTATGAAATTTCTGACGCTTTTGACCACCTCAAAAACAAAGGAAGAGTAAGTCCTACTGGAATGTTGGCGAGTCATAGCAAACGAGATGTATTTAAAGGTGCTTTAAAGTTAAAAGTAGTTTCTCAAAAAACACCAGCCCCAGGACAATATAATCCGATCCTCCCTGATAAGAAACCTTTGCATCAAAAAGCTGGTCCTTTCTTGTCAACTGTAATAATGTCTAACAACTAGGAAGCTAGATTCAACGAGTGCTACGAAAGAGGGCCAGGGCCAGGCTCATATCTTGTTGAAGACTATGAAAATTCATTGATCAAAAAGACCCACAATGTCACCTTTAAAGAGCAAGAGCCTACAAGTCACAGGTCCGTCAGGGCTTGAGTAATGCTTCAACACTGTTTATAATTGAATTGAATATATTCTCCATTAAAGGTTTTTGATCGTGACAGGATAGTCATTCAATGTTGATCTGCAATCTACAATTCTTTGCGGATCAATGTCATACCACCATGCTCAACGAACAATTCAAGAAAAAGAAACCAATCTATTTCTGAAATTAACCTTTGACACACGAACCAAAAAGTATCTCTGGATAGATTTGAACTACCATCCTCCGCGAAGTAAGATCAGTATTGAACTGTGTTCATTACATGATTTTAAGTAAATGTGCGGTGCTCTACCATTTGGGCTACAGAGATATGATTCGCTGATTTCTAATGACTCATGAACGTGATCTCAAAATCTACACCACAATATAACGACACTTGCAGAAAAGGAAACTCTAGTGCCTAGTTGAAATGATGTGCCGCGCCATAAGGATCTTTAGCTCCTGGATGCAAACGACAGTGCCAGGAACAACAATCTCTACCACGAATGAAAATCAATTATTTGTATCTTTATTGCCCAATTATAGATTTTAACAGGAGCAAAGACTCGTAGTCTTTTCTTAATCCATCAACACTCTCTCTAACTGTGTCCAAATCAATCTTACTCTCCCCCAATAATTCAATCTCTACTTGAACTGCTCCAATCTGGCCAACGTAGTAATTGAATAGTCCAACCACTTCTTGCTCAACATTATGTAATTCCTGCAGTCGCTGGTCTGCTAGTTCTGCTTCATTCTTACTTGCGCTTGACTGAACATTAAGCTGCTCCAGTTCTGTTTGTAGTTCTTTGATGGTTTTGTTTGATGACTGGCCTACATCCCTAACGTTTGCTTCATTAAATATCAATTACTGGATGGCCTAGTATACACATTATCAGTAATAACTGGCTCTTTAAGGAATTCTTCCTTTACTGAAAGAGGGAGTCCGGTTGGAATCTGCTTTCCTCTCCTTCTGCTCGTCAATATATGCATAAAGTATACAAATTGAATTTTTTGTATTCTCTGCTCAAAACGAATATCTACAAGTTGCCAAATTTGAATAAACTCCTGTGTGCTTATGCGAGATGTTTGAAATAGAGGGTCCAGGTCTTGCAGAGTTACGATATCCTGCTTGCTGTACTTGTTGAACTGCGTTTCATATGAGAATCTATCAGCTGGAGAAAGATACCAGTCAAAGGACATTTTGAGATTTGGCAAACCTGGTGGCTGGCAGCGTTTTAATTGTACCAAAACCAATATTATAAATTCCAATTCAGGCTGATCTTGCTTGTCCAACTAAAAGTTTACTCTTGTTAATATTCTATGGAAGCCGATTTTATCCGTGCAGCAAACTTACCCAATGCGCATGAAAATGTGTAATCATCCTCACTATTAATCATGATCACTATCTATAGTATTTCCAGGTATACCAATTTTTTGTTTTTTCTTTTGAAATCGAAATGAATTACTCGCAGCGAGAACTCACACCAAAGATTTTATTTCAAATCCTAGAGACTAGCAAGCACTGCGATACTCTGGATATCAGTTTTACGAATATATCCCAAATACTACATGCAGTGGAGGACGACGATGAGTGGAGCGATATTGAAAATGATATTTCAATGGTAACAGATGAAGAAACAATTCAATCATTACCGCTCAACATCAAGAAAACCTTTTTCTCAATATTGAAGAATATAAAAACTCTTAATTTGGACGGCAACAATATTAGTTCAAGCCTGCATATGATTCTGCCCCACATGAAGAGTATACGGTCACTCTCTCTTCGTAACAATGGGATTTCGGCTGCAAATATCGTCGAGTTGCTGACAGCAGTTGCAAATTCGAATATCGAGGAATTATACCTTTCGCAAAATAATTTAATGGATGCAGGTGCGACAATCTTGGCAAACAATATCCCAAAATCATTGAAATTGCTGCATATTTCGTACAATATAATCGGACTGAAAGGTGCAGATGCACTGGCGCGTAAACTGATGCACAATAGAACACTACAGTCTTTTTCAATCATGGATAATCCAATTAATATGGAGGGCATTTATCGTCTATTCCAAGCATTCAAGACAATGCGGTTGGAAACATTAATCGCTGGGTTCACTAGCAGATTCCAAAATGTCACAGTTCCATACAGCAGGGAAGAATTACAGGGATATGTAATGACCAATTCCATGTGTTTTGAAGAAATAGTTGCCGACTATTTAAAAACAACCACCTTGGAAGCTCTAGTTGTTTTTGGATTAAAGTCAATTAAACTGGTAATGGGGTCTTTGCACAACAATTTTCTATTAGAATCGCTATCCATTTTAAATGTACACCCTGAAAACACCGTAGAGCATGAATTTGCTTTTGTAGAAGATATGGCTCAGCGGAATACCACTATAACTACCCTGCTAGTCGATAAAGTATCACGACCAGTTGATCAGTTCTGTAACAGAAACAAGGCTATTCAGAAACGCAAACAGGAAATATTCAAAGAAATACTTGCCACCCGAAGAAATTTATTCGTTATGAGTGAACTGCCGGTTGAATTGCATTACAACGTCATTCAAGTTATGTGCCAATACTTTAGTTGTCAGGAGACGAAACTTATTGTTGGCAAATTAGTCAAACGTGATTCATTAGGTGTATGTATGTCGCTAAGAGACTATCTCCTGTTTTGTTTGGAAAATAAATGGACTTGAATTTTCATCTATATGTAAAACTTTATTGGTTTACTTGTACCATTTGTAAACGTTCAGCTTGACGATTACTACACAACTTGTCAATGTCTTTTATGTATTGATCTCTCAGACTTTCATTTCCTAATGATCGAACCTTAAACAGCATATACGGAGCAAATACTATGGCCCCAAGCATTTCAAAAGCCATTCCAAGGACCATAAAATCATACCCGATAAATTTGAAATATGTCCACGCTGTGATATAATTGATTTGTAGGTATTCCTGCAAGGAATAGATCATGCCAGTGCCGGCCATGTTAAAGAAAATCACTACAATTTCCATTAATCGATACCACCATGGTTTTTTATAGAGCAGCGGCAGCAGATTTACCTGAACAAACTCCCAGAATCCAATGTGCTCTCTCAAAGAGATCCAGAGAGTGTACTTTTCAAAATCAGAGCAATAGAGTTCCTTTCCAAGTGGTACCCAGGCAATTTCTTGATAGATATTGGTGCTGATTGCGTTCCTGCCCTTGAAATAGCTGTAAACGATGAGACAAAACAATGAAGCTGCAGAAAAAGTGAGACAGCCATGGATCAAAGAGACTGAGGGTTGGTAGCCAATGGAACTGACGCAATCTTGGTCACATTCTTGAACCAAGTCGGCTACCTTTTGTCTTGTCTGTATGATATAAATCCCAGCACAAATTAGTGAGATTGGACGTTTCCACCAATTAAATCGCCAATAGTAGAACACAACCTTGTCGAGAATCGATTGCGATGGGACTATTTGTATTTGGCTCAAATCCATTTGCTTATTTTTGACTCATCTGGGCATTTATTTATGAGCAACGCTTACCGTAAAATATATTCCGCAGATTTCAAGGCAAAACGCTGTAACTTTGGAGAGCACAATTAAGTCATGAAAGAATCAATATCCTGTGCAGAGATAACTCAAAATGCAAAAGGAGGGAATGTAAGACAAATAAATACACTATTCGAGATTCGTTTTATGGAGCTATTGGCGTCTTGAATTTAAATAAATGCACTATTGCCAACTAAAATTTATTCAATGAATTAACGAACGACCAATTACGCTGACAACTGATTTCAGCTCTATCCTTGGAGACACTAAATCATTGATTAGTTTACAAAATGCAGCATAAATTGTCTTGTTTTCCAGCGATCCTATTCTCCACCTGTAGATTCAGAGTGGAAAGGGGCTGGTGTGCCATCCAATTGAATTCTAGAATAGCCCATGTGTAGAATTATGGTTATTCCAATTGCCTTTTAAATAACCTTTGCTATGTTTTTGTCCCAAATCTAGAAATCTAAATGCGAGTTGAACTTGACCCCATCCAACACCTAGACATTTACAATTCAATCAAATCAATATTAAACCTAAAGAAACAGTAATCTTTTACTTATCGAGGACTCTCTCATTCCTAACACAGTACGAATCTAAAGAAAAACTTGAACATAAACTAAAGTCCCTTCTAAAAGAAAACCAAGGCTTGCTACTGGAATTGAATACAAAGAAAACACTAATACAGAAAGAGGAATTGAAAGACTACGAAACCACGCTGCTGCAGCACAAGGAGTATGGAAAGAAATTACAGAATGATCTGCAGGAAATGCTTATAGATTTACGACTGAGCGAGTATGAATTGGATTTGATTAATCGAATCGAGTTTCAAGAGCGTCAATTAAAGGTACTTTTTTGCTTATTAGTTTTCTATCTGGTGGTACATTGCAAGTACAATATTATTCGCAGTGTCAATAAAATTACTTTTTGCTTAGCAATCCGCTTTGGATCAAACATACACTTGAATTCTCTATCTCTTTGCTCCAAGTTCTTTCAGACAATTTTTTTACCAACAATTATGCAAATTGCACAGCTGTTTCCTGAATTGGATATTAAAAAAGTAGAAACTGTTTGCACTCTCTGGAGCGGATACGGAACAATTTACAGATTTCATTTACCAACGAAAACACTGATTTGTAAGCACATCAACCCTCCAAGAGACAATTCAGTGTCTCATCAACGCAAACTAAAATCCTATCAAAACGAACTTGCATTCTACCAACTGGAGAAACCTAATCATCCCCCACTTCCGGAATTTATCTCTTCGCCTAAACCAAACTGTTATTTACTGTCGGATATTTCGGTTGAATACCCTTTCCCTTCTGGTGACTTGGCCACTAAAGAACTCGAATTGGCGCTATCCTGGCTGGCTAAATTTCATTCATATTGGTTCAAAAAGGTACCCTTTAGCGAGAAAGGCAGTTATTGGCATGTTGATACCAGACAGCAAGAATTACAGCAAATGAAAAACAAAAAACTACAGTCGATTGCTCAACAATTAGATGAGCAAATCCATTCATCCAAATTCAAGACACTCATTCACGGTGATTTCAAATCTGAAAATATTCAGTTCAACGATAGTTCTTGCGTGGTGTATGATTACCAATACGCTGGATCAGGGTTAGGCGCGCAAGATGTATGCTACTTGCTTACTTCCAGTGCACGAGATACAAATAGCATTGACAAGCTGCTCGCATTTTACTTTAGCGAATTAACCATTGATGGGTACACGTATGACCAATTTTTGCAGGACTTTGACTTGTGTTTACTGGATTACATTCGGTTTAT